CGTCTCACTGATCCCTCCCATTCCCTTATAAGGTAGAGACGCGATAGGCATCAGTAAACGGACGGCATCGATCTTGCACCACAGGTTATGGACCCGAAAATCGCCCCACTGCAAGACGATCAAAGGCACCTCGAATATCGCCGCGGACCAGGTCAAGACGACAACACCACGGCACCCACCAGCCCCGTCGCCCCCATACCAAGTCCGCGCACACGCGTAGAGGCCCTTGTAAGCGCTCCGGCCACCGCCGTAGAGCCAGAAGAAACTGCTCCGGCCACCGCTGTAGAGCCCGAAGAAACCGCTCCGGCCACCGCCGTAGAGCCCGAAGAAACCGCTCCGGACACCACCGTGAAGCAGGAAACCACAGCTCCGCAACACCGCGTCGAGCCCACCCCGATCGCCAAGTCTTCAACGCAAGAAATGGAACCCACAACTCCGTCCATCGAAACAAAAATGCTTGGTCACCTCCCCGCTCTCCTCAGCGACGGGACCAATTACGGTATATGGAAACAAACATTGCAAGACATCGCGATCCTCAACAATGTCGAGACAGCCCTTGATGACACCGCACCACCGCCGACCATCACGAGCCCGCATGATCCCATCTACAGGAGAAAATGCGCATTCTTGCGCATGACGATAATGACAAGCCTGCCATCCGATCTCGCAAGTACAATAGATCTAGAGTCCATCGTCACACCGCGGCAACTGGTTGCCGAAATCACGGCCCACTTCACGGACTCCACCCCGACTACGCACCTCACCCTGAGACAGGAAGCCCACCGAACAAAGCCGACGGCAGGGAGAGATCTGGAAGAGTACATCGCGAAACACAGGACAATCCGGATGAAAATGCGAATGGCCCCATCCCCAGTATCCAGCAAGATGAAGCAGTCACCATTGACTTCATAATCAACGGCTTCAGCTCGCACCCGTCATTCCGCAACCTTGCGGACATGTGGATCGCAAACAACACAGTCCCCACCAACATCCGTAATCTCGCACAACGCCTGAAGGCAGTACAAGTGCGAGACGAAGAAAAGCAGGCCAACCGCGACCAAGATCCACAAGGCATGCCCCACCCGGCACCATGGGCACCAGAGATCAACACCCCGCCCCCGCCACCCCGCACACCCGGCAGAAGATCAGGGAGAGGCGCCCCGTACCAACCACCGCAAGCTCAATGGCGCACCGATCCGCCCCGCCAAAATCCTCTGCCTCACCGAGGCACGATGACCCCAACGCCCCGCAGTAAGCAATGAACCACCCCCATTGTCCACAAGCGGCCTCCCGCGCGCAGCACCCACCCGCAGCGCCAGACCACCACAGGACAACTCGCCAACGCAGACGACGAGTATGACTATAACACTGTATACCAGGCCCTCGAGGAGGAAGAACCTGAAGGTAAGCAGTATGCCCTCGACTCAGGAGCCCACCCGTCTCATGTCCGAAAACCAACACGTCACACGAGGCCACTACGCCGCATAATACGCACTAACACGGCCACCAACAAAACCCGTCCCGCCACACATCAGGGGATGATCCACATCCCGACCCGTACGAATAGACAGATACGGAACCCTGCCATTGCCAACCCCGCACTGCGCGCGAACTTGCTCTCCGTACACGAGATTGCAGTGCAATGGGGAGAAGTCAGATTCACACCCACGCAAGCACTCATCCTAGATACGGGCATGAGCCCACCGCAGCCTGTAGCCAAAGCAAAATTCTCCAAGGGAATGTACTACCTGCAAGTACCCAAGGAGAAAGGAAATATCGTGGCAGCAAGGACCGCCCCCGCAAGAAAAATTACTCCTACGAAATCACCGAGAGCAAAAAAAATGGACGACGGCCAAACCTAAACCAAGCCGCATACTAAACTCGGACACGTGGCGCCGACAGTAAAAAGAATACCCCTGCATGTAGCGCACAACTCTGCGCCGCCGCCGTACACCCCGGCACACCCCGCAGTCGAACGGGACTTCCACCATTACCATGTGATATTCAATCACATACGCCCCGCCACGCTTCAAAAAATGGCAAAGCTTGGCCTCTTGCCCAACCTCCCACCCACGTTGAGACAAAGACCCCCACGCATCACCTGCTCGAGCTGCGCAGCCGCGAAACAACAACCGGCCCCGCACTACCCCACCACACACAGGTACCCAGTAGGAGCAGCGTTCAGCAGTGACATATGCGGACCGTTCAACCCGCCCTCACGCCAAGGAAACAAGTACATACTCACGATAATTGACACGAAATGAAGATACCTCATTGTCGACTTCTTGGAATCACGAGCTGAGACACCGCACCGACTGGACAAAATACTTACAGCACTCAAACAAAGGAATGGATGCAAGCCCAAGCTGTTACACACGGACAACGCTAAAGAATATATATCCGAATATGCAAACAGAATGTATCGCTCACAAAATGTAAGGCACAGCACTACAGTGCCGCACACACCCCAACAGAACGGCATAGCAGAAAGGATCAACGGAACCCTGATGAATTCTGCAAGAGCAGCGCTGCACCACAGTGGCCTCCCCAAAACTCACTGGGAAGACGCCGTCAGAGACGCAGCGTTCAAGTATAATAACATACTACACCACTCCACCAGCTCCCTGCCATTCACAACGTGGACCAACACCACCCCCAGAGTCCACCAATTCCTCCTATTTGAGCAACTAGGGACAATCCCCGAACTAGCTAACAGGAAGCAAATATCCAAACTCGCCCCAAGAGCCACCCCGCGAGATACTTACATGCGATAGGTGAGCACTACATCATGGTACTCGAAACAAAAACCAACAAGCCTCGAAGAGTGCGCTGTGTCAACTTCCAACCCTACCACAGAGCCACTGACCCCGCAGCGTCATGCACACAGGCGAGGAAGGCGTTTAAACCACATCGCACACCCACACGAGTGACACGCACAACACCAGCCCCGGCTAGCACAACCCAAGCCAAAAAATATCCCAACGCAGCAGAGTGGGAAAATGCACACAACGAGGAATTGGAAAATTTAGACACAATGAACGTCGTACAGTGGACACTAGATGCCAACCTCCCCAAAAAAGGAAAACTCATACCTCTAAGAATGGGATACCGATACAAGAGGAACAGTGCAGGAGAAATAGCATCGAGAAAAGCGCGCTGCTCAGCACGCGGAGACAAGATGGTGCCACACAAGCACTTTGACCCTGCCAAAACGACAACTTACATGGCGGACAAAACAACTGTAAGGACACTGTTCGGCATAGCAGCAACACATCGCATGCACATAGAGCACATCGATATCAAGTCAGAATATCTATATGAGAAATTCGCACACAACGGCAGCGAAAAAGTGTACGTGAAACAACCACCCCGTTTCAACGGCACATCCAAGCACCCATGCCAAGGAGGCAAGTTGAGCATGAACATCTATGGGATGCCCTCTGCAGGACACACCTACCTGACAGCAGTATTCGCCCTACTACGCAAAAGCAAGTTCCAACAAAGCGAAGCTGACCTCTGCCTTTGGTCAAAAAAACTGGAAAGGACCTCATCATAGCTGCAGTAAGCATGGATGATTTTACTGTAGTCGCGTCAAAAGCCGAGCTCAAGGAGGAGTTCGTAAAAGCATTAGCCAAAGCGTAGAACATCAAGCGTCTAGGACAGCACAAAACATTCCTAGGATGGACTGTACATCGAAGCACAAATGGAGATATCCATGTCTCCCAGCCCAATGCAATCAACTACATAGTTGAACAAGCAGACATGCAACAGTGCAACGGCAAGTAAACTCCGTACTGCGACGGAGTAATGCCTCACAAGCCAACGGATACCGATGAGATCCAAATGGCAACCCTCAAGAAATACCAACAATTAATTGGGGACCTCCGATATGTCGCCGACTCCACCCGGCCTGACATATATTTCCTGACAAACCGACTCGCCGTCGCGGCCAACAAGCCTACACAGAGGCATTGGAGCGCGTTAATGGGACTGATAAGGTACCTAAAACGTACCCCCACGACAGGACTCACCTTCCGAGCTAGCACGTCCACCAGCAAAGAGTCGAATCAGGACCTTCTCGTCTCGTATGCAGACGCGGACTTCGCACCGGACATAATGGACAGAAAGTCCATCTCAGGGACCCTACACACCTACAACGGAACGCCGATCTGTTGGGGATCCCTCAAGCAAAACATCACTGCTCTGTCCACCTGCGAGGCTGAGTACATAGCGGCAACAGCAGCGACTCAACTAACAACATGGATCCGACGCATGCTCAAGGACATCCACATGCTGTCGACCAAGCCAACACCCCTGAGGATTGACAACCAGTCAGCAATCCACGTCGCGAACAGCACAGGACCGACAAAGTGGCGAAAATTCATAGACTTGCGTCACCACTATCTGACGGACCAGTCACAAAAGGTAACAATCACCCTCGCCCATGTCCCCACCGACGAGCAACTGGCGGACATCCTCACAAAACCCCTCCGGCACCAAGCATACACGCGCCTCCTACCCAAGCTGCAACTCACAATCCAGCAGACTGCAGACGCCAAGACCGCTGCGCCGTCGACAGGGGGAGTGTCATGAGAGCCATAAAAACAAGTGTCGATACCGCACCAGCATGCCGCCGCAGTCATGAGAGCCATACGTGCACACGTAGCACACGCATAATAGCGCCATCAGATCATCTTTATTCACCGCCGTCTCACTGATACCTCCCATTCCCTTGTAATGTAGAGACACGATAGGCATCAGTAAACGGACGGCATCGATCTTGCACCACAATGGTATTAGCGAATAGTACTGTAGGACACGTTTACGGTATGCTCCTCAACACTTCAAAATATAGTCATACAAACGAAGCAAACAGAGCAACCTGTTGTACAAGTTTGCAGCAAATCTAGCAATTCGCGAATGCAGTGTGCCCGAAAATATAGATCTGGATGTATCGAATGAGGTGATTTCTGCCATATAGTGTACGACACCACGCCCCATCACAGCCCAAAACGTACAGCCATCCTAATCAAACTTTCTTCAGCCTGCGTTTCGTACGGTGCAGCAAACGCTGTATACTCCAGCCCCTTCGTGTTAGACTTAATGCGCATCCCACGATTGAAGCGAGGACTGTTCACCTCCATCACCGCCTCTTTGCACCCAACCGATTCGCAGTACGTGCTCATTCTCATCGCGTGCCCGCGGAACACGACCATGTCACCGCGTGTGGCACAACTGTCGTTCTCATCACATAGAACCCGCGAGACGGCATGCTTCTCGAACACAAGTCCATTTCTAGAAAGATGCCCGAGGGCTCGAGCGTCTATACACAGATCATCGTCGTCGTCATTACCGCCTGATGGGACATTGAGTCCATCCGGGTTCGTGATGGAACCCTCGCTTTCCGAATCTCCGTCGCCAGCCGTAGGCATCTCCTCACCTCCGCCACCGGAACCTGTGCCGCCAGTCGTGGACGTCTCCTCGTTACCACTAGAACCCCCGTCGTCCACGATCGGCATATCTTCAGCATTTGCAGTTTCTTCAGAGAAACACAGCGTGCTCTCATTTCCCTGCACGCACACTTCTCCAGCTGTCGAACAATCGTTGCTGGACGTGCATGACTCAAGTCCGTCCGTAGGTACACATAGACATCTCTCGCCGGAAGAGCACGTGTCTTGGTTGGCTATGTCTACACAGATTCTTCCTTCTGCACACTCGGACGTGCTCGTGCAAGTGTCACCAGTCAGCCCCATGCGATTTGCGATCGGCAAAGATGTGCGAAAAAGTCCTGCCAAGTCTTTTGATGTTCCCAGTGGAGCTGCTTTTCTCCCGGATTGTCGTCCCATCTTGGTTTTCAGCGTACGAGTGTTCTGCAAATTTGAATGAGGGATAGATGCCATGTTCAAGGCAGGAAATTTGGTTTGCGAGGCAATCTTGGATTGGATGCTTTGATGATCGGTAAACCAGCCAGCAAGTGCCGCAACGTTGGGCCGAGACATCTTTTGTTCCTTCGGTTTGAATGCATGCGCCCTTCTTAATGTATTGTGCGCTTGAAGGAAGGCATCGAGCGAGTGACGACTCGGAACAGCTGCAGCAGATGTGGGTGGATCTGTTTTGCGGAGGGATTTAAATATATTCCTTCGCAAGCTGGCATTGTGTAGCGCATCACGACTCCTTGCTGTTAGGGATAGCTTCTGCGCGTTAGTCAAGAGCCATATCCCGGATCGAGATGGCGATATCGGGGCTGGAGCAGCGAGCGCGACGACAAGGAGGGTGCACACTAGCAGAAAGCGCTGCAGAGTAAGCATGTTGACTTGTGGGTGTTTCGGGAGCCGAGGAAAGTTTTGACGCAGGAACCGTGGTCTGGACGGCGGCGGAGGCAGAGGAGTAGGAGAAGTACTTTAAGTAGAGGGCGAGAAGAGGGCCAAGCGACGCTGTGAGGATCCCGAGATCAGGGCGGTGAAACCGCGGAAGCAGAGGAGTAGGAGAAGTATGTAACTTTTAAGTAGAGGGCGGGAAGAGAACCAAGCGACGCTGTTCACAGCGTGACATGAGGATCCCGAGATCAGGGCGGTGGAAGCAAGGTACAGTACTGTTGCGGCAATTCTGCCGTGGGGCACCGAGCGACCTGTAATGACGGGAATCCACTCGACTTTTTTTACTCCTCGCCAGTCTGCTGCCTCCCCCTCCCTATCTTCAGGGATGGCTTCTTAAGTACACGTTTCCCGGGACTAGTCGGCTATCCCCAACCCTCCCTCCCGTAATTTCCCCTTTCGATCCAGCTTCCCCTTGCCCCACCGGTAGCCACCTCCTCGTGCCATTTCCCTTCGCGCCCTCGGCCGGCGACCTGCGCGGTCTTTCTGCCCCAGCCCGAGCCCCGTGCGTCCTATGGTTTCCCTTCGTCTCCCCAGTGGCTGGCAACCTCAATTCCCCGCGCGTGCTGTCTCGCTCCCTCCTTCCCGCCTTTCGCTTGCCCGTCCTTCGGCGATATACGGATGCGCTCCGCCCCGTGGTACGCGTGTCCAGCTCGCCACCTGGCAACGGAATGCCTCGTAACACTCGTCCTTTTTCCTTTGCCTCTGCAGTAGGACGTCTGGAAAGTCTACTCTTCTTCCCCTTCTCGAGCATGTTTTGTCTCGTGTGGACCATTGTCAAATAGATCAACGATGATCTCCGGCAAATCACTCTCCCGCGTCCATTTTGGAGACTTGCGCCCAGCCAGCTGCACCTTGAACCACGGCGTCCTTTTTCCAGTTACACGGTCAACCTCGATACGCGAGTCGTGCATGCGACGGAGGAGCCGAAGTCCATCAGGAAACACGCCATTTTTGACATCCACAGTCTGACGAGCCGTTGGCGATATTTTGCGCATGCGGTTTGCGTGCACACGCGCCATCTTGTCCCCAATCTCGGATCGAAGTAGGTAGCTTAACGATGACAATACCCGGTCTACGCAGTATGGACCCATCCAGGCCGGAATGATATTCTTTCCTTCCTTCGAGGACAGCTCTGGCTACCAAACCAGGACGCCGGACCCGACCTCGAATTCTACTTCGCGCACACCCTTGTTGTATTGGTCTCCTGCCTTGCCCCGCGCTTCCTTTCCCTTCTGGATAAGCCTCCGGTGTAAGGATTGGAGGTGTTTGCCGATATCATACGGCTCTCCCCCCACTCGCAGGCTCTCCTCAGTCTCCCAGGCCATAAAAGCCTGGTCGCCAAACATGGCCTCGTACGGCGTCATTCCAGTTGCTTCGTGCACTCCCGTGTTATATCGGAAACACGCGAGAGATACATGAGCGTCCCAATCCTCGCTCCCAGTGCTTACGAAGCAGGCGAGGTTTTGAGCCAATGTCCTATTCCACCGCTCGACGCACCGATTCCCTTGAGGGTGGAGCGGTGAGGGAAGTACTTGCTTCACCCCTAGCTCCCTCGTCATGGCTGCGACGACAGTGCCCACGAAGTTGGGGCCCCTGTCGGAAAGCATCCGTCTCCATCGGTCCGAATATGGACACCCATTCGTCCAAAATTGCCCTTCCCACTGTGTCCGCGCGCTCATCGAGGATCGGCACTGCACGCGCGAAGCGAGTGAAGGTGTCAATTATGACGAGGATCTTGATATTCCCGGACTCTGTTCGAGGTGTGACTGTCTGAACGTCCAAAGCAACTTGCTCGAACCTTCGCTCTGGGTGGTATTCGACCATTCGAGCTTGCTTTCCGGGTTTGCTGCTTTTGGCCGCAGCGCATGCGACGCAGCGCCCCAGCTTCTCTTTGACATCCCTTCGTAATCCTTTCCACCAGTACGACCCATTGAGGCGCTTCAAAGTCCGCCTCAATCCGTAATGGCCACTGAGACGGGATCCGTGCACTTGGTCGAGGATGGGGGAGACCAATTTCGGAGCGACCACTAATGCCGCTCCGTCGTATATCCGCTTGTAGAGAATCCCCGTCTCACCCACGTGATACCCGTTTCTGCGCTGTAGCTGCGCGTACAAAGAAACATCTCCGAACTCCTCCCTTTGTGCTGCCCGCAAATCAGCGCTCGACGGGCCTCCTCCGAGCGGTCCGATGTCCATCAGAGCGGAGACAGCCTCCACAGCGGCTCCTTGGGGGATCTCCCTGAAACATCTCTGACACAACGGTTTCTCGATAGCGTCCCTACTGAGGGCATCACGGACAACAAGCGCGCTCCGGGGTGCATACTTCACTGTAAAGTCGAAGTCCTGGACGTCGACCATCCATCGGGCGAGCCTCCCGCGCGGGTCTTTCAAGCTCATCAACCACTTGAGCGAACAGTGGTCTGTGATGAAAATAATGTCGACCTCACCATGTAGGTAAAACCGCCACTTCCGGAGTGCGTGTACGACCGCCAGGCCCTCCCTCTCCGTGACGGTGAACTTGCGCTCTGCTGCCGTAAGCTTGCGGCTTGTAAATGAAACAGGAATCCACTTCTCATCCTTGCTCATATGCAACAGAACTCCTCCCAGCCCGTACGAGCTCGCATCCGTCATCAGCTTCTTCCTAGCTCCCCGCCTCGGTGGCGCCAGCACATCAGGGTTGCTCAGAGCATCTTTCAGCTCTTTCCATGCCCCCTTCTGCCTTTTTCCCCAGCGGAAATTGCAGTCCAGGATTACAAGCCGTTGCCCTCTCCCTTTCTTTTGATTAAAGCCTGTCCCTTTTATAACTTCATGTAAGGGAGCAGCGATCTCCGCGAAGTGGTCTATGTATTCTGAAAAATAGTTCATGAGTCCCAGGAATCGCATGAGTTCCTCACCGCCGCCAGGTTCCACGAGCGCTCTTACTGCAGAAACATGCGCGTCAGAAGGCTTGATCCCGTCCTTGTCGATCCTGTGTCCTAGAATTTCGGCCGTGCGGACACCGAACTGGCACTTGGCCAGCTTGAGCCTGGCACCTGCATCATAGAACGTCTTGAGGGCCGAGTCCACGGACCTCAAATGTTCCTCTACAGTAGCAGTTCCGAGGCTCACGTCGTCCATAAACGCCCAAACATCCATTCCCTTCTGATCCCCGAGAATGAAGTTTACAACCCGCTGGAACGCAGCTGGTGAGTTATTGAGCCCTTGTGGCAACCTCAAATAGCATAGCAGTCCCAGTACAATGCGTATTGCAGTCAGGTTTCTTGACTCTTCGTCCAGTTCGATCTGGAAGAAGCCGTCGTTTAGGTCGAACGTAGAAAATATAGACTTGCTCGCCATCCAGTCCAGGGTGGCGCGCACGTCTTCCATCGGGCACGTGTCACTAACTGTGAGCGCGTTTAACTGGCGGAAGTCGGAGGTCACGCGGGTCGACCCGTCTTTCTTTTTAACAAAGACGTTACAAGCCGCCCATGGAGAGGTGGCAGGTTCCACAACCCCCAGCTTCAAAAGCCTTTCCATCGCAGTGCGTTCCACCTCTTCCTCGCGGGGGGACCTTCTCCTTACTGGGCAACAGGCGGGCTTGGCACCGTCAATCAAATCGATACGGTGCTTGACTCCCTTGATCTGGCCGAGTCCCTTGAACACCTCACGTCGGTTCCAGAGGATGTCGCGTAGTCTCTCTCGCTCGGCCGGGTCGGGATGAAATTGGGACAAGGCCATGTCCAATATCACCTCATCGACGTCTGCGTCGCTGATAGCAGCTGCCATTTCGGCATCAACAGCCCTCCCCGTCCTCCTTGTTACCGTTCCGCAAATGCGCTTCTGGTTTACCAAGATCTTGGCTCGGTGCGTGGCAAGGTTTAGAACCAACCCGTACCGACGCCAAAAACTGCTACACAAAAGAACCTTGCTCGGTAGATGCGCTTCCACTCTCACAGGCTCCTCGAAAGTGGTCCCCCATTGCTCAAAATTGAGGCGCCCTTCTCCGCAAACCTCGATCTCGTGCCCGTCGGCTGCGTATGCGCCCACAGAGCCAGGTTTCCATGTACCCCCTATGCTGTCGAACCATGTCCGATCAACCCAAACCGACCTGGGGCCAGTGTCGATAGGAACCCACACGTGCTTGCCCCCAGCCCTTATTTGCGCCATGACGTCGTCATCGTCACCCCGGCGCTCCTCCCCACACCTGCATACGCGTTCATGTATGTGCATGCCCTTAGGGCCTGCGGCAGCTAGTTGCGCTTTGGGAGAAGGGCTGCCGCCTCCCTTCCTGTCTCTCCCCCCCCGAGCTCTGCACACTGCGCGAAGACTTCTCTCTCCTCTTTTTGGCACAGTCCCGAGCGATATGACCTTTCACGCCACAGTAGTAACACAGCGCATTGGCGAAGCGCTCATCGGTGGTGAGGGGAGAGGAGGGGTACTTCGGTGTGGTACAGTTGCCAAGTGGCGCTACTGTACTAGGCGGGCGCCAGAGGCCTTGCCAAGCACAGTAGTAAGATGTTAACCGATACGGTACATACGTGGCCAGCACGTGTAGATGTGGCCACGTGGGCTTCCACGTGCAGTTAGTGGCACCAGCTAGTGCAGGTGTACACATGGTGCACGACCGATCGGTGGGTTAGTACCGTAGTCATTTTTAGTTACCGTAAGCTACAGTAAGCTGGCTACAGTATGTACAGCTACTGTAGTCCGTCCGGATCCACCGCCCTACTAGGGGGTATAAGATAGGGGGCACCGGGCTGGAGGTACACCGAGGCAAGCACGCCTCCCTTTACTTCCTACCCTAGTCCTTTACCGTACGGTTAAGTAAGTCGCTCAGGTTTCCAGCTCGCCACCGGTCGTACTGCTCTACACCCCAGTACAACTGCGCGTGTCCAGTGCGGTGTACCTCCCTTGTCCTGTACTTCCTACCGTTCCGGATTATTCTACCTGAC